AATTGTAGCTTTGGGGGTCCTTTTTCTCCAGCTCCTGTCTCCGAGTGTACTCAGGTGCAAGAGCTGTTTTCTGTCTCGCATACGTACTTTTGTACTAGCTGTATCTCCCTTATACTTCAGCCACTCAGCTTCACCAGAGCTTCTCAGGTGCAAAGTGGCGTTGTCTCTCGTATACGTATCTGTGTACTACTTGCATTCACCCTAACTCCCAGTTTCATGTTAAATTCGTATCCCAGTGCGTTCTGCCCACCATGAACAAACACTGCGTTCCTTGACGTATATGTCAATCACGTGCAATCCTCAGACTGGCGCGATGAGGCATTTTGCTGATGTCGGTCGCCATGGTCTCTCGACCAATTTCCCTTTGTCCACCGCTGATTCGACAATGAACGGACGCGTGTGCGACACAGGCGAGAGCACCCCGAGCAAGCTGCACAGAGCAGCCTAGGAGGAAGCGAGAGTCGAGTTGAAACGGTTCCAACCGGTAGAGGAGCTTAGACGATATCACTTGATCGAGAGGTCATTCCTGTAGGACGATTTTCACGTCTGTAGTGCACGTCTGGAGTGGTCCGTAGTATCATCTGAAAGCCACGGCGAAGCTGGCGGCGGCGCGCAACGCGGGGTGTTGCACGTGTACGCGTTCTTCGGCGCGCGACCCGGCAGCCCCTTGGCAGCATAGAGTCTCGCGCGCGGCCCACTCACACAGGCAGATACAGCTCTGTTGTGTGAAGCCCTGTGACTCTTAGTACGTATGTTGCACCTCACATGTTACCTCTGACGTACACCTGAATATAGCGGCTTAGGCAGTTACACAAGCGGTACCCAACTCCCGAAAGCCTTACATCCACCTTTACACCTGCGGTCTCTCTCTGCAGAACCCACGTGCATACAGACTTACAGGACAACGAGTCCGTGCTAGAGCTGTTTCGCTAGTGCAAATGGTTTAAAAAGGCAGCGTCAGACAGAAGCCGAACAGGCCAGAAGAATGCATGCAGTCGAAATGCGAGCAAGTTGCAATCGAGACATACGAAGGACCACGGATACGCCACATGTAGTTAGACGCTAGAGCAGTTTTATCGCGTCCTAGCTCAAGCATGGAGGCGCCCTCGTTCATGTTCAGCTGGCGCGCGACACCCCGGGCACAATTCCTCGAAACGCATTTGGTGAGTGGAGAGCGGCGATGTTAGTCTGCTTGGCTCAGGTCTGCAGTGTACCCAGACGACAGGACGCAAGGAAGGCAGACGCGCAACGGCCAGCAGACGTAAGTACAGGAACGCACGCACACAAACAATGCGATACACACATGTACGCTTCATGCGTACTTTCTGACTAACCACCGTCTACTAAGCGCGCGTGCGTCACCTCATAGCGCGTTGAGGCCATCAGCAGTAAGCGTAGCAGCTCGAATGGCTCCCGTAAATACCGAGCCTACGCTCCAGTCATTTGACAACGCTCGGATTAGTGATACTCCACGAACAGAGGAATTCCGCTTACTAGCTCATACACATAGCTGGGAGCGAAACGGAGACGTGTGTCCTGCGCTTCGAACACGTCAAAGTTTCGATTGCGTCCCGCGCTGCAGGCCCTAAAGCAGTCCAGTTGGCGCTGCTTGTTATATCCCCACGGCTACATGGCAATCTAGAACCGCTGTATCCCCCCGCCGCACGGCAACCCAGAACCCGGTGCACTCTCCTTTGCGCCGCTGTAAAATCTGAGGTTCGACGGTTTCATCGAGTTGCAGGCGCAGACGCTGCCGGGGGCGGTCCAGCGGCTACACACGCATACTGACAAGCATAATGTGGATTTTTCTTTTTACGTTTGCATCCTCCGGGAAGTGTGAGAGTACTGGAGAGTAAACGGGGCTGAAGGCAACATCCGACAGATCTAGGATGCTCATCGACGAAGGCGCAAGCCGGTTCTGTCGTACACGTCTCGTGGAGGCCAGCAAACTGCCACGGCTAGCGGATCTGCTCACCTCCGTTCTGCTTTTACCGGCACCTGGACACGCGCCTACATCTATGTAGATGATTGAGGACGTCAGTGGGCCTTAAACTGTATACAAGAGGGCTCCTGTCGACACTTTCCGCATTTGTGCCCATAATCCCCCGGTAAATATTTGGGGAATATTTGTAAGACAAGAGAAGCCAGTACCAATGTTTCACTAAGCTGCGCCAGACAGAGTACAAGTCATCGAACTGCATACACTTCACGGCCTGCAGGGCGCCTCTCGGGGACATACGCTCATGTACGGGAGTCTTTCGCTGACAGAACGTCCCGTGCAGCACGCTCAAGAAAGAGTTTCATAGTTGTCTGCCGTTCAATAGGTCTGCGTCTTCGTTTGCCATAGAGTCCTGTGGCTTGGCCTTATCGGGGACTTTCGTGACATGGCGGTAAACGTGATTCAGGAGTGTTGCCCGCTTGGCCGTGGTCCACAGAATGTTCCTAAGTGGAAGCAGCAACTGAGTACACAGGCTGATTTGAGAAATAGAGACACTGTGCATCATTTTGTTGTCCGCGGTGGGGGCTGTGTTCAAAAGAGGGAAACGCCTCTGCTCAGTCGTGTTACCGTTCCGAAGCAAGAGACCCGCCAGCATTCTCAGATTGTGTAGAGCCATACCCTCGAGAAGTGTGCTCCAGACAGAGACGGTGGCTGCGTGCTCGGCACGCGTCATCTGAGCGCCAGCGGTCGCCTACGCACCTCAGATCCGTCAAGCGGGAACGCTGAAAACATGAACAGTCCCGTCCAGTGCCCCGCATCTGAGGCACACGGGAGATTCACACATGCTGTCAACATGTCTTGTAGCTTTGCGGTCATAACAGTTTCGGGGTGCGGGATGAAGCCGCGATGTCGCTGTCGGGTGGGAGTGGTGTGAATCGCTTAGGCAGTGCCATAGCGTCTCCTTCGAGGTGGCAGCACGGCGCCTGAGCACCTAGCCCGCGTTGACGTGAGCCGGAGAGGAATGTCGCCACCGCGTGTCTATCCGAGAATTCTTGTTAGTGGCTCGCAGAGTACGTGTCTCGAGCACCGCGTCCGCGGGCGTGCCGGCTTCTCTATAAAGCCTCCGTATATGCATTGCGATCTTTCTCAACGTGAACTGTGCTGCAAACCTTCTCGGAGCCTTCTCTGGCACTTCTGCCCGGCGCCGTTGGCCCGGCGATAGGAACTCGCACCCGGTACGCACTCAGGTGGGTCGTGTCTGTCAGCCTCATCGACACGCTATATGGCGGCTTCTCCGTTCACGCCGTTCTCGTAGTGTAAGACTTCCTCCCGTTTCGTCAGTCATCCGCTGTATTCCTGCGGAGCCCGGTTTCGCGCACAGTACTCATGATGCTCGCAACTCGTCACATTACTTCAGCATGAAGGGAACGGCGCTCGTACTTTTATGCTCCGCCGGCGTGGTGTTTGCACTTCAGTGCACGGATACTGTGTTCGCAGCTTCCGGTGGTCCCTTACCCACTGAGAGCGCACTGGCAATCAGGCGGGATCTCGCTCTTCGTGCGCCAGACCTCACGTCCTCCAGCTTCTTGATTTCACTCTCAGATCCGAGGTGAATTTTTCTCCCGATAAAGCGGCTTCGTTGCAGCTCATTTCCGCGCTTCCACCGGATCTGTTCGGGCTTTTTCTGAAGGCGTACGATGCAATTACCCTCTCATGGCCGCCCGCGACAGCCGCTGAGACGGCTGACCTCGCGGAGCTCCTGGTGTTTCCGCTTCTCGGTATTACAACAACCGTTAATGGAAGATGTTGTTTGTGGGCTACAATACTGGGGCATGCTGGCTGCGCGAGTGGAGCACCTTGTTACCAAACTGCACAGCATGCACGCCGCTTAGGTCATGGTACGAAAGGTCGCCCAGTATAGGCTACGCTAACACGGGATAAAGGGCGTCCTCCTGTGAAACTGCACCTTCTGCTAGTGGAATCACCTCAACTTCTAATCAACCGGGAATGTTCTGACGCTACAAGACTGGTCATTCGGGGGCTGAGCGCCAAGAGACGGTCAACACTTGGAGGCTCGACTGACGGGATAGCTGTGCTTGACGCTCCTGCACAGCCTTATGTACGGGTTCATCTCATTTGTCCAGCTTCCGTTGCACCTTTGACTTCTCCGCATGTGGACGCGGCTGCAGTGACGGTGTCGTAACGACGGGAGCTCCGCCACGAGAATGCTAACGACTCGAGGGGCCCGAATACATGGATTTCATGACGGTGAGCACGTTTCGCGCAAGAGAAGTCTTCGATGGTTCGGTGGTCACGTTTCGCACAAGAGAAGTCTACGATGTGTGTGTCTGCGGGCGAGACCGCGCTCAGCACATGACAAGAAAACAATCACCCGCAGACAGCGCAGGCTCGACGTGTAGAGGTGATCTGTTTCACGGCTACCTGAGTCGCGGGTGGTTTCTGACGCGGTGGACGTGGTTGTTTCAGGAAACATCGCCGGTGTAGGCAACGCGGTTGAGGAGCTCTCCGGGTTTCAGCGCTCTGCATAGCGTGTCCTGACATGTCTGACAACAACGCGTGCGTAGCTTTGCTGTCCAGCGGTGACTGTGCGGTACGGGCGCGCCCGGACAGCAGACCATATGCTGGTTTCGTTGAATTTATGCTACCAGTCACTGCTGAGGAAGACTCTGAGTAACAAATGAGCGCTTTTCGCAACAGGTTTTCCATCTGTTACCAAAGGTACATACTTGTGTGCTGTGCGCAAGCTTATGGCTGCGCAGCGCCGTGCCGGATCTGCTGGGGCACTCACGGAAGGGTGAACATAACCGGGAGTCCTGCACGCGCAGGCCGCTCCTCGGCCGCAGCCGGGGCCTGGGGGAGTCTCGCCCACAGAAACGTGCTGCCATGAGCGTACGTTGCGAGAGCGTCCGTCAAACGGCTTGAGAGGCAATTTTGTGTATCACCACGAACGTACACATAGACAAAGCGACGGCAGGCTGGAACAATCCTCGACGGCCAGGCGCGAAAGATCGCCTGCCCGCAACCGCTAGCAACCGTGATAGGACATGTTGTCCTTGTGTGATGTGCATGTATAAGATAGGGCTTGTTAGCTAAATGAGGTGTAGGTGCTCTTTGATGTATCAGTGTGTCCCGTTCACGTCTGCTTGCGTATTGCAATACCTTCCCTGCCTTCGGCGGGCGCCCTTCTCAAAACGTAGAACGAACCCCTTCGCGGGCACAGTCGACTAGCGTCTCGTGGTTGAACGGGTCGACTCTAGCAGCTCTGAAGTTGAGGCGCGGGCTCTGGTTCGTGAGTGTTGCGCGCGCGCAAATAGCACAGAAGATGGAAACCTAATAATCACGCACCTCCTGAAATGAGGCAGACGACGCTAGCGTGCGCGCCTCTGCGCCGAAAAAAAAAGGGAAAGCTGCGACGACTGTAACCATCTGCAGGACAATCGCGCTCGGAACTAGCACTGCTCTTGCTTGCGTGCGCACACTCGCCGCAGGTGACATATCTTCCCAGTGACACGGGACTGTCTGTCCTCTCGACAACCAGCACTTCCAATCCCTCTGTTTTCCGGTCGAGAGTGGACAGCTTCGCGCCCAGTTATGAAATGATCCTTCATACCTGAGCTGGTGCATAGCACGTAGATAATGTGCTCGCGTGCCGCAACTGCACTTGTGCACAGACGCCTTCGGTGAAAACTGATTCCTTCACAGCAGAGGAACGGCACTCGCACAGTCCGTTTTGACGTGTAACAACGTTCTCGTTCTCTAGACGAAAGCGACGGGATCTCCCGTCCCCGAGACGGTGCGAAAGAACTGCGAGCCCGGGTGTGTATGTCTTGTCTGTCGCCGCCTAAACGGATGATTCTGCCGCCCCGTCACCTCACTTGCTCATGCGAGACTCCTCCGGTTTCGCCTCTCAAATTTTTCTACGACGTCTGTAGCTTCAGCACCTTTCCGCGTGGAGACTCTACATCAGCGACTCGGCTTACTCAACAGGAATTCTCTGACGCGTAGGAGTCCATTTGCCAACAATTACTCTAGCTCCTTTTAGAGGACTTGTCTCATGCTACGCGGCTTATCTAGCACACCTTCAAAACACGCCTACGCGCTCGGACAGCAAGTCTCGTACGTTGTCTTCTTCCATTCGAGTGAACCTGAGGTGATCACCCAGACAGGCGTCTACGAGTATATATACATATATACATAAATATATATGTGTGTGGCGAATTGTATGCGTAGGCCCACGCCACGCGCTCATCGCTCACGTTCTCGAGGCGAGTAAGGCCAGTGAATGAAGAGCAAGACCCAGTCTCATCTCGCCGTAGCTTTCTTAGCTTGTGAGACGTAAAATGAACGGGACTGTCGTGCTGATGGCGGGTTCACCACCGTACCGGGTCCGCAGTATCGTTTATTATGTGGAGCCCCATACAGCAGTAGCGTAGCGGCAGCGGAGCACAGAAGCAGGCACAAAAACAGTACTGCTGCATCGCTGCGCGCACAGTGCTGAAGGCGTCTTCACGTTGGCGCCTTTCCATCCTGTGAACTGTGCATTCTAGCCGGTCCACTAGAGTCTCGTGGACGCGTAATCGATAACTCCAGGTGGTCCTCAGATAACCTTGCCAGGTTTTCCAGCAGTACAGTTCCATGAAGCGTATTCGCTCTCCTCTGGAATGCGCCGAGTACGATTTATAGTCGCACAACGATATAACAGCATACCCACGCGTCCCTGTGTAAAGTATCAGACAGTGCGCAACTCTAGAGTAACTCAGCGGGCGCACTTCACCGGAAGCGCATACACCTAGGAGTAAGCTCCTTCCATTCAGGAGCGGAAAATGCGTAAGGTGGGCTACACGACATCCCGCTGTAACCTACTCTCACTTTTAAGGGAACTTAAAAAAGTCCGTCGGCCCCTGCTGTCAGAAAACGCGGCTGCGCAGCGGGAGCGGTTCTCGTCCTGGAGCCCGTCAGTGTCTGTTACTTCGTAAAATCACGAGGAGAGCCGGTGAACCTGATAGACGGCATTGTCGTCGGATTCGCGTATCACCAAAACTGGGCGGACCTGCCCTAGCATGGACGTTCAGATGTGCATCTGTGTGTACACTTGGTTCTGCCGCTGGCGTTGCTGGTGCTATTAGGCGAATGTTTTGTGAAGCCGACGTATGTCCACACACGCATAAAGTATCCCGACAGGCGTGTCCTATGGCCGAGTGCTGCTGTTTTGTAGCTGCGGTTGTGCCCGGCTGTCCGACCTATCCCGCTGCTGCTCTGCTGCTCCCTGCAGCAATCCTCCTGCTGCTGAGGCCACTGCTGTCAGCGTGCTCGTCTTTTGCTGTTACGGCTGCTGCCGGGCTCTACTTCAACAGGCGTATCCGCCGGGTCGCAGCCTTGTTTAGGCAGAGTCGCAGTGGCGTACCGTTCTGTCCAAGATTCCCTTGTTTGCGGAGAGCAAATCAGCTTATAGACACGCACACGTATACACGTATTCTCATGGCTATGCAGCATATACTTGTATTGAGAGATGGATGTATCCACTTTTACTGTATATACACATACACATAGTTAGACCACCACAAACTTCGTATATCAGGGAACATATGCTTGTATGCAGATACTGTGATCGCCTACACACGTACAGATATGCCATGTGTCTGATGCTTCAGGTAGAGCTGTGGACATCTGCAAATACCTACTCGTCTTTCCGTGCACCTGCGTTTGACTCTACATATTCCCGTTACCACTCTCCACGCGCATCTACATGTGTACGTACATATGCCTACGTCTGTCTTTACGTACATTTTACCGCATAAACGAGCGCACGTAATCGTATTCTGGCACGCTTGCATACATATATCTGTCTATGCGCTTGTCTCATATATACATACCTGTACATACGCCTGTCTTTGCTTACAGTGTTCCGCATACACAAGCGCGCATAGTCGTATTGAGACACACTTTCATACATCTATGTGTCTATGCAGCCGTCCCTCCGTGCGCTTTCACAAGCACACACATTTATGTTTCTACAGAAGACATACATGTAAATATCTATCCAAGAGCAGATGTTTGCACGGATGCTGAAGAGCCCATCGGCGAAGGAAGCTTTTCCAGCCGTGTGCGCATATATCTCGAAGAAGCCAAGCGCATATATATCCAGGGCCGTGTACGAAATTCTCGTACTCATAAAGAGGAATCCCCAGATCTGTATACACATTGTGATTCACTAGAGGCTGCGGGCACCCGCAGCCGTATACAAATGTATAACTACCTTAACGAGAGCGTATATTTGCAGATAGTCGTACGTAATTGTCGAGGAAGGCGAGGGCCGCCTAGGGGACATGCACAGTAGTAACATCTTCGAAGTGCTGGAACTCCGTTCTGACGTCTAACATCGTTACTAGAAGCTACACCGTTGCAGAAAGTGTGGGTTTCGCGGCACGTGCAGGCGTAGTCCGACGCAACAAGACGACTATAGCATACGTGGGGGATGTACGTGGATATAGGCCTACATTCTTGGTGTGTATATCACATGTATGTATATACACAGAGGCCACTGGCGTATGTGTCTGCACACAAGTATGTATACACGCGTACAGTTTTCATTATCTGACTGTACGCTCTTATGGCGGACGCCTACGTATACACGCATGTGTTCGTACAAAGGACGACTATCTCAGAAGGCGCACACGCGAGAACGTATAGATACATAATATATGTATATATGTGAACGTGTACGGCGGAAGCTGCATCCCCCTGTACGTATACTCGAATAAATATATATATATATATATTTATACAATTATATTTGTACAGAGATGCGGCCACTGGTACCGTACATGTATGTAAGGATGTATAGACATATATATGTAAACCTATGCCAGTTGAGGCCGTCACAGCGCGCGTGGTACACACGGAGGACAGGAATGCACAGTTTACACAAGAAGCCTGCGAGTTTCAGTGACAGCGTCGAGAGACAGTAGCATACTCGCTCACAGACGTCTATCTCTGCCAACAGAGACGACGCCGACGCTGCCTCGTTATAGTGTGTAGACATATGAGGCAAGGTCGCACGCACCACGTAAGAAAGACTGGGCAAATGTCGGGTATATATCAGTAGCATCAACGTCTTTCCCCTACTTCTCCAGTACTATCTTGATCATTACCACTACTGCTGTTAACGCTGTTTATCACTTCTATCCCTCTAGCTTCTTGTTGGCTACACGCGTTTCCGGCGCACGAGACATACATGTTTGCCAAGGCGTCTTTCGTTTGATAACTGTTCTGTTGGCGCAGAAGAGCAGCTTTGTCAGGAAGTGAAGAATGATGAGCAAGACAACGACAATAGGAGGGGCGATTTACTCGAAGCACCGCAACGAACAGCCCGTGCAGAGCAGCTGCCCCAGCATTATACGTAAGGTATCAATAGCAGCAGCAGCAGCGGCAGAAGCAGCATGATGAGGAGCAGCACTGTCGGCAGAAGCAGAAGCAGCAGCAGAAGCTGGTGTAGCGCCGGCAGCAGAAGCAGGAGTAGCAGCAGCGGCAGCAGCAATAGCAGGAGAAGCTCTCACAGCAGCAGCAGCAGCAGGAGCAGTATTACTACGGCGTGCTTTGACGTCAGCGTGCACGAAGCGTCGCACGACCGGTGCAACAACAACAGAACGACTAAGAACGAACGCTGCGGCGTGAGAATACACCTAGTTGTGCCGGCTGTGACGGCCACCCCTTCGTCATATGTAGTGCTCCTGGTCCGGCAGCGGATCTGAGGAGTGAAGTGAACAAGGCAGCTGTCTGCGTCCGGAAGCCTGCGTCAGACCAGAGGACTGCGTTTGCACATAACTCTGCCGTTCGGGAAAGGCGGGGGGGTAACAGCTCACATCCGAGGCTCCCGCGAAAAAAGGCTGCGGCGCACCTTGCACCGGTGCACTGGTAGCGTCTCGTGCCTAGTAAGAAGACCAGCACTACATATGCAAAGACTATTACGGTTGTCTTGAAATTGTGTGATATGCGGACATCCCAGCAACGTGAGCACGGACACACGAGGAGCCCACCAGCGCCGCGCACAGGAGGGTGAACGTACTGCTACACTGTCTCGCCGTTCAAAGGCGACGGCGCATGTAGCGGTCAGACCGGAATCCGTCCTTTCCCCCTGCGTACAAATTATAGGCGCCCTTTCTGCTGTTCGAGCACAAGTGTGTTTTGATTAGAAGGTTGTAAGGTTCGCAGACGGTGCGCATCAGTGACGCGTAGTCATGCGCACCCCTCCTCCTTGTCTGGCATACACCAGTGCGATCTGAAGACCAGAGATTGCTGTCATTCGGGCGCTCACGTCCTCCGCGTTCGGTGCATACACCTGTGATCTGAACAAATGCTCATAAATACATGCGAACGGTGGCGCCCCCTGGGCAGAAAGGCGCTTCCCGCTGCAGACCACCTTGTTTCCACCATCATCCACTTGTAGCCCTCAGTTCTCATCTTTGTCGCGCGCATCCGCCGAACACCCACTAGCGCCTTCACACGACTAGTCCGTCGGACAACTTGTCTTCAAGGCCTGAAAAATACTGTGCGTCTGTCTGTACCAATGACGCAGCTTCCGGAGTGGGCAATAAAGTGCAGCGAAAGGCACGTAGCTGCAGGCAGGTAGCAGTCCTGCTACCAGCGCTGCTGCTCGAGCGTTTGCAGCTGTGAAGACCCTGTTACGAAGCCGAGCGACGCACAAGGCTCGCGACTGAGGCTTCTTCTCCATCGACGCTGTGTACTTGCAGCGTCCGCTACGAATACGCGCGCTGCCGTCCCGGTGCGTGCATGTGCAACTACTCGTGCGCATCCTTCTTTCAATCCCGCGCAATACACTGGGCCCCCCTGAGGCTTCTTTGGCACTGCAGTTGTGTACTTACCGCGCTCGCTATGAACACATCAGCAGCGGTTCTCGTGCGCACAGGTACATTTACACACATATATGTATATCTCAGTTTGACACGTGCTCAAAGGCGAAGGTACAGTTCTGTAGCTGGAAAGGATCGCGGGCATACGCCGACGATACTTTAAATATTTTGTACGTGGAGTATATGCGTACAGGGTATGCGAACAAAGGCGTGTGTGCGTACAAGCTTCACAGGTACGGGGCAAGTCCTCGGTCTACTTCCGAAGAAGCGGGTGAGTTCCCTTGTCCTTTGGCACGATCCGAACGGATAGGTCTGCCTGAGCGTCCGCGTTTTGCGCACGCTTCGTACGCAGCGTATAGCGTCTCGGTTCGATTGACAGCCAATATGCTGTTTCCTGTGGATCGCCATGAGGGCCGTAGTTTGGCAGATCTACTACCTGCAAATGCGCGTGCTTGCATTGATGTGCGTACGTCTAGATACACGAGTATAGTAGAATATATGTACGCGTACGCCAGATTGTTGGGCATTCTTGAGCGGAAAACTCCTCTCCGGTGTGCTGTTGTATACCTTAATATATTCGTAAGGAGCAGGGAGGGTCGGGAAGAATGCCTGTATAAGCTTTAACACACATCTGCTCTGGCAGATCGTAAGAGCATCGGGACACCTCGTGCGCGTCAAAGCAGTCGAATGTTGTATGTCCCGTAGGAAACAGTCTGAGTGCCCACACATATGGTGCGCCACAAAACGGTGGAGTGGTGCGTTTCTGAGAATAAAACGTACGGCGCAACCGCCGATGCTGGGGGTTACGCAGGGGAGTGCGGCGGGGCGCACACGCCGTCGCACAGTTTTTAACCCCGAAGCGTCTACAGGAATGCTCACTCACTCTTACGCAGGACCTTTGGGGAGATACGCTCATGTGTCTGTCTACTAGTTTCAACGTAAGTACCCAGTGTGACTGCGATGATGGGTCTGCGCAGTGCTCCCTAGCGAGCCTAGACGCGCTCGTGGCTGCGATGTTATTGTACGTGGAAACGTCAGGCGTTGTCGCCGCATTCCACATGCAGTCTCATTCCGGCCACTGTGTCCCCCTCCTCTGTGTGGTCCCCGGGCTGCCACAACCCACGGGTCTTCTCCACTCCCCAGCGTATCGAATCGGCACCGTGCTGCTGCGCATGTGGACAAGCAGTGACTTTCATGCTGTCATGCAAGTGAACACACCCGTCGGGTACCATGGTTCGTTTGCGGACGTTGCTGACACCTTTTGAGAAAATATCGCTCCGTCTCGGTTCTGACTTCAGCCCCTTTATAAACTGAGAAGCGGTCTAGGCCGAGAGCGTACTTCCTGTGCAACAACCGCGTACACGTGCGGCCGTGCCTCTGCGAATCCTGCTTTCGTGATGTCGGGTCCTTATCCAGGGACCGTCTCCCATAAAAATACCGTCTGACCTACTTGCTCGTTCAGCATTTGACCTCCGTCGCCACCAGCGGTTGCTCTCTTTCGAACGTGTGGTGACCGCTTCCGCCGAACAGAGCTTTGCTGAAAGGCTCACACCTTCTCACTGCCACCTCCGCTCTTTACGTCTCAATAATGCTTTTTAATGTACAGCAGCAGGACAAGTATTTACATTGCTGTTGCCCCGGCCCACCAGCGTGTGTGGCCTTGTATACACGTGGAGACGCACTCCAAGACACACGTGAGTTAAACAGCCGCAGCGCTGCATTATCTGGTCGCGAGAGCAAACTTTTCCTGTTGATCTCGTGGTAGGGGCGTACGCGTGAGTTACGTTGGTTTTGATTTAATCAGGCGCGGAGGGCTGGCACGCGCCTGAACTGACACATCGCCTTCAGGTGTTTCCCGCTGGGCGTACGCGCAGACGCCTGTAACGTACGGGTTATGCGCTGGTCCCCGATGTATGCGACGATCGTAGACTTCATATGGCGCATGTGTTTGAGTACGAGTATAAGCCAGCTCCAGATAACAGAGCTCGCCGTCGCCTCCGCTTGCACACGGGGCACGTAGTGTCTGCATTTGGTACCTTCAACCGGCAAAGCTCATATCCAGCGTTAGCTTCTCGGACACATTGGTGTGGCCCACCCCCTGGGGAAAGCAGAAGGGTGGCGACATGGTGAGGAGGGCCGAGAAGCCGCCCACGGTAGGTACTGGTGTAAAACCGGAGGAATTTAGCTGCGCCTTTCGCCCCTAGGCGGCTCCTTTCTACCACCGAAATCCTGTGCCTGAGTCGTCGTAGCGTCTTACTGCTGTTCAGCGCTCGCTACGCCGCTTTCATGCCTTCTTCCCCCTCTTTTAGAGGGCGACGCAGTGTCCGGTATTGCAACCCGTGCCCGGCATGTCAGTTATTATCTGAATACTGGGCAGTGCGGAGGAGCAAGGCGTGTGAAACATCTCTGATGACCTTAGCAAAAAATCGTGGGTGACCGCGCGGAGACCTGCTGAGCTGTGTAAGGCCTCGTGACATCAGCTGGCCTATGCATGATGGAAAGGCGATTCGTACCGACAGTATACCTTCCAACGTCGGGACGTAGAAGTGACCGCTGGTGCGCGGGTAACCTCAGGAATAATACACACACGTATGATATTTATGTCCAGACTTTCCTGAATTGGCGGCCAGACGGCCACATGCCGCCCCACTTCAAAAGCGTATACCTGTGTACAAAGAAATCTACGCTTTCCTTCCAGTCCACGTCAGCCGGGAGCGCCTCGACACCTCTGGCGTCCTGGCGTGCGTATTCATATCACTATGTGCATGTAGGCGTGCACCAGTTCGTTCGCGACCCAGCGATGTGGTCGGCGTCAACAACGTTGTTGTGGGGCAGAATAATGCTGTCAACTGACTGCACTGGGGGATTTTTGTGACGAATGCTTGAAAATGATGCAAAGACTCGCCCGTGCGGCGCCCGGCGCCGCGTGAACGAGGTGAGGCGACACAGAAGAACGCCGCGCTTCCGCTTTTCCTGTACCGTACGCGTCTGCAGTGTGTGTGAAGCCGACGTGCCGACAGCATTGGTGGAGTACACATGGTTCGCGCCGGCTGCCAGCGAAGCAGCACTGACGGCGGGCTGCAGTAGTAAACGACGAGGTGCGCGTGCGCGCTCCTACCACGCTTCCACGCGCCCTTCACGGGTTTTTGTCTGCGACCCATGTATACAGGTCCAATCGCCGGATGTACACATGTCGGCGAGAGTAGCTACAAGCACTTCCGCGTAGAGGCGGGCGATGTGCGTTCAACGTTCAAGGTAGGCACGTGTCCGTCCAGCAGGCCCCATCTATAATGGGGCATAGAGGAGAAACGAGTAGTGCACAATCTTCTTTAACGCAGACTGTGGTGCAAAGGGGAGGACTCAACACGCACGTCTTCGGAGATGTAGTTGCAAGGGACCTTTTTCCGAGGTCCTCTCTGCCATAAAGTTGTCTTCTGCGCCCCGAGTACAGTCACGTGCAGGAGTGCATTCTGTCCTGTATACATGATCCTGTCCTGGCTGCGTCCTACCCACCTTCTTCACGCGGGCTTCCCAGGTGCAGAACTCGCATTACGTCCCGTATACGTGTCTGCGTACCACGCGCATCTCCTCATACTCCACCCACCCCACCTTCATCCCGGACTCTCATCCAAGTGCGTCCTGTCGGACACGCACAAACACCGTGTCAATCAGGTGCGTCCTCCGGGTGGGGCGCTGCGGCATCTCGCCGACGTCGGTCGCCATGGTTTCGATCGGTACAACGGTAGTTGTCCGCCTCTCATTGGCAATGAACGAACGCGCGCACAACACGAGCGAGAGCCGCGCCAGCGACTTGGAAAAGCTGCCTATGAGCAGGCGGAAGGGAACATGACAGCTTACGCGACGTCACGATTCCTAGACGTTATTCTGGCAGACGAGTTTCACGTCTCTAATGCGCGTCTCTTCTAGTCAGTATCATTCATATTTCGCGAAGGAGCTGGCGGCGGGGACCGACGTGGGTTGTTTCATGTCTACGCATTCTTGGCCGTGCGACCCGGCGGCCTTTATACTTACATTGAGGGAATAGACTATTTTCGCCAGCGGCCTGCTCATACACGCGAAGCTGCCCTGTGGTTTACGCTTGCAGTGTAAGCCGCTGTGACCCTCAGTACATACGTGACGTCTCACGTGTTGCCTCTGACATACAGATGAACACACTTGCTTACGTGTATACTCCAGCAGAACGTGTTTGGAAAGACCTTGGTCCCCGGTGCTACACCTGCAGATCTCGGTCTCCGGAGGGACATACCTGGCCGGCTTCTTTGTACATTTTTTACTCGTGTAGGAACATCCTTGGTGTAGGGACGGGTGCGCAGGCGGAGCCGGACAACAAGGAATTCGTGCAAAAACTGCTTCGATCTTGAGCGAGTGGACCAAGAAGGCAGCGTAAGACAGTACCGTCCAGAGTGACGCCAAAGTGCCGAGCAGACAAAGCAATGCTTTCAGATCTGGATGTTAGCGAGCGGCTACTGAGAATCATCAGAGGTCGCCCCTTACTAGCTACGGGCATACGCAGAAGCAGTTCTGCGGGTTAAAGCTCAAGTAGGGGAGACACCATCCTGCGAACGTTCACCCAGGGTGTGACGCCGCCCGTACTTTTTAAATGCTGATAGAACCCGCATCAGCTGCACTCTTGAAATGGCGCCGTTTTGCGTGTGTGCCTCGTACGCCAAGCTGGGTTTGAGGCGGTTGCACGTGTGATCTGCGCTTCGCTTTCAAAGCCACCGAACCTTCAGTTCACCCTCCGGGCTGCCTGAGTAGCGACTCACCGCACACCATCCCATCTAGCGCTGTTTCCTATATTTACCTCCATAGCAGGGCCACCGGCGAAGACCAGATACACTCCCGAGTGCACCTTTCTGAGATCTGACGGGTGACACTTCCATCGCGCGCCAGTCCTGAATGCTGCCTCACGCAGACAAGCAATTGCCCGCACCTACAGGCCAGTCTAGATAAGAACTGTTTTACTGTAGGTGTGGCCTCATCAGCGAAACAGTGCGGAAAAACAGGAAAAGAACCAGCGCTGAAGGCCGCCTCCGAAAGCTGCGGAATGCGCACTGACGGAGGTGCCGGCCGGTTCCGCTTTACTCTTCGGGGCGAAGGGAGTATACCGTAAGAACCAGCGTATCTCTCACTTCCGTCCTTCTTCCACCAGCCATCAGACCTGGGTCGACACAGATGGCAGTTTTGGAGACGGCCGTGGGGCTTCTACTGCATGAGGGGTGCTCCTCTCAATATTCTTTGAATTATTGCTCACGTGTTTGAACGCCGGGATTCACACTTTTGAAACATGTAGAAGCGTAGAAAAGTCATCGCTGGTATTTTACGAGGATGCGCAAGACTGTGTACATGTCGCTGAAGTGCATACGCTTCAAAGCCTGAAAGGTGCTTGCCGGGCGCTCACGTACCTGGTTCGCCGCTTGATGAATACGCCGTGCACGCTTACGAGAGTGTTTCACGGTCTATTGCCCTTCATCGCGCGTGCATCGTCTTTTAACCCTCGTGCCGCGTCGCTCGCGTCCGCGCAAGGGAGTTTCGTAATAGCTGAAGACGTGAATCAACAGTGTTGCGTGACGCCCACTTTGCCGTAGTCGACACAGCGTTCGTAGAGAAGAGCTGAAAGTGAATGCAGGCGGTGCTTTTCATTTGTCGAACAGGGACTCTGTTTAGTATCTGTTGTCCGCGGCGTGAGGTGTGTGCAAAAGAGGAGGCGCTTCTGCTCGAGCGTGTCAGCACTGGCCACCAAGAGACCAGCGACCATTCTCTGGTTGTGTAGAGCCTCTTTACGATTTCGGTTCTGAAATAGACGGTGTCTGCAGGCTTTGTAGCCCGCAGACTCTTCGCGCCTATGGTGGCCTGCGCACCTCGAAAGCACCAGTGAAACCGCTGAAAACATGAGAAGCTCTCGAACCAGCTCCACAAATAAGATGTAAACACCTGCTGTCCACATCAAGTTTCCGGGAAGCAAAAAGACGACGCGACGTCGCTTCATGGCGCTTCAGAATGTTTTAGAGGTGTGACCCTCGTCGGAAAGTTTGGGTGGCACCCCGTCTCTATTAGTGTGACCTCGCGGCGCCAGCGCGCCTTTCTTCTTTAGGCATGGTGCGGAAAGAACGTCGTCATCGCGTCTCTATCAAAGCACTTCGTTCTACGGGCACGCGGAAAAGTTCGCACTTCCAGCACCTCGCCTCTCGGGCGGTCGAGGCACGCGGCGCTTAGTTGTTTCACCCTTCTATGCAGCGCCTTTGTTGATGTGAACTATCTTGCAAACCGCTTCAGTATCTTCCCTCGTCCGCGAGCATGCTGGGGGGGCTGATTCTGCCCGCAATGATGATGACTGGCCAGCAGTGCGAAACTCAGGTAGTATCGTGTCCCGCAACTTTGTCCACCGGCGATAAAGAACTTCTGTGTGCGCGTCTCGTTTTCCTAGTCTAAGAGTGCCTCCCGTTCCCGTCAGTCATCCGTTATGTTGCTGTGAAGCTCAACGTCGCGCCCATTATTGCTGGTGACTGCGCGCATGAAGTCGCCTCAGCATGAGAGAAACGGTCATTGTATTGTCGTACTCCACCTGCGCGGTGCTTGCACTTCAGGGCACGAATACTGTGCGTGCGGCGACCGGCGGTCCCCCGCCCACAGGAAATGACGAGACGGGTAGCAAAGATATCGCTGCTCGTGATAATGACGTCCAGTTCTTGACACTCTTAGAATACACCCTTAGATCCCAGACCGACCTTCTTCCGCGCAACGCGGCTTCGCTCGAGTTTGGTGCCTCCCTCCTGCGGGACCTGCTTGACCTTTTCCTGAGAGCGTACGATGTACTTACCGGTCCAGGGGCGGGGGCGACGGTCGCCGTTGCAGCTGAGCTGGCGCATCTTCTGCGAGTGCGCCTTCTGTTATTGCACCAGCCGCTAATGGAAGATGTTCTTTTTGGGCCGCAGTACTACCAGATGTTAAGTATGCGAGTGCATCACCTAGTCATGAGACTGCACAGCTTAGGCGCCCCGTAAGCTACGAGTAAAAGATTGCCCAGTAAAAGCGGCGTCATGGCGTGTACTGACAGCTGCAAGAGCAAAGCGTATGTGGCTTTGCTATTCAGTTGTAGTCGTCCGGCACAGGCGCCCCTTCTCCGGACGACGGTCATACGCCGGTTGGTGGACTATGTGCAGTCAGGCGTTGCTATCGAAGACGGCGGACGACGCAAAAGGACGTCTCGCAGCAGAATTTGCATACGCGGTGAAGAGGCTATACTTTCCCGGCCTCTCGCAAGCACACGGCTGCGTAACGCGGTGTGGAGTTTGCGGGGGGACCTGTGGCTGCGTGGAAATAGCCACAAAGCCTTCAGGCGCACGCCATTCACCGACGGCTGCCGATACTGTCGGGAGTTCTGCTGGGAGAAAGGTGCTGGCATATGGCACAGACATACTCGGGAGGGCCCTGGCCAAGCCACCTGAGCGGCAACCCCGCGTATATGCGAACGGGCAAGAACTGGCGGCAGGCCGAGACGACTTCTAACGGTACACCCACGTAGGACTGCCTGTTCGCAGCCGCCACCAAGCAGGGAATTACCTGTGTGTATAGGTCGGGGGATAGTGTATGTTGGCTTCAGGAGACGTACCTGTATAAGTAGTGCACGTTGACCTCATGAGATGTACGCACCCTTCTGTTTTGTACTCGTCTATTTCCGCATGTATGACTGTGCCGTCGGGCGTGCAAGGATACGTGTGTGTAGCCCGTTCCCGGGAACACTTTTGTTTCTAGGCTGTGGATCGAAGTCATCCGTTCTCACGATCAACCTGGCGGATCCCGGTTGGCCGGTTGAGCTACAGCGTCAAAATTGGGGCGATGCCCCCAGTGCGTGAGTTCGTAGCACGGGCAGGCGCATGAAAGGCACCGATGCACTGGCCTCTGGTAGCCTCAAAAGTCAAGTGAACGAGTGTAACCCGCAGCTTACGCCCGTACGGCTCGGCTCGGCACCAAAGAAGGAAGCGTACCTTCTAAACAAATTTAAAGAACGGCAGGGCGTGCGCTCGGCGTCCTGTCTGCATGTGTGGGCACACCTACGAATGGTTACATACTGTTTTAGTGACGTGGCTCGCCTTCCAGTGTCAGCAATCAGCATCGCTGCAGTCTCTAAATGCATAGATGCGCACCCCTTGAGGTGATTTGTCACACTTGAACCGCTGCAAACCGCACTGCTAATGTGCTCGCGTGCACGCAGCTGAACTCACACTACAGGGCTCTTCAGCAGATTCTGCTTTCACCGCAGCGGAGAATCGGCCCGCGGCGGGAGCATTTCCACATACCAGAGCGTCTTCGCATCCGACGAGAGTAACTAACTTATCCGTGAGCCATTGCGCTAGAGCTGTGTGTCTCCTCATAAAGCCTTACCTGTAGCCGTACACGCGTGATCCTGTTGAAACGCGTTCATCTCTCCTTTTCCTACACGCCTCTCAGTTTCGTCTTGCAGATCCTCTGCAGCTTCGGAAACTTTTCACCACCGACTTCGTGTACTCAGCGAAAGTTCTCCGACGTGTAGGAAGGCGTCTGCTAACTGCTCGCTAACTCGTTTCTCAGGCATATTTTCGTGGTACAAGCTTGTTTAGGAGTCTGTCAGAGGACGCTCACGCACTCGGACACAGGTTCCCGTGGGCTCTGTCCTTCCGTTCCAGTGGCCTTAAAATAATGACGCAGGCAGGCGTCTGAGAGTATAAATACATGCATTTGTATATGGGTAAATACATATATTTATATACGCTCCGTTGTGCGTGTAGCTTCGGGCCACATGCTCGTCACAGAGGTTTTCGAGGTGAACAAGTACCGTGAAGGAGAGAGAAGCCTCACCGCGCCTCCCCTTGGTTCTTTAGCCTTTGTTCTACAGAATGCACACAGTGCTGTAGAGTCGTGGTGATGGCGCGTTCAACACCCTATGACCTCCACATTGTCGCGTGGCCTCCGGAGTCTCGTACAGCAGGGGAATTTCGTCCGCAGGGCACAAAAGCAGCCACAAAAGCAGTACGAGCAGTGCTGAAGGAGTCTTGGCATGGCGCCGTCACCACCTACAGACTCTGCCTTCCCACTTGCCTTCCACCGTCCCACATCAGTATGATAGCAGCAGCAGGGTACAGAGCAGCTGCCAATTCAGCACTGCTGTACTGCTACAGATACAGTGCTGCAGGCGCCTCGGTGACGGACTTTAACCAGCCCTCTGAGCCCCACACTTTTGCGTATCCCTTTAGATTCCATACATCCGCACAGCAGCGAGAGCAGGTCGCAGAACCAGCTGCAGACGCCGTACTGATAGACTGCAATGAACACCATGCTGAAGAAGCTGTGGTGAAGGGGGTTGCACCGCTGTTCGAGTTGCACGTTCTCGCTTGTTTCTTGTGGTCTCATACAACAGTAGGGGAGCAGCAGCTGGGCACAGCAGCAACTTTGACGGCAGCAATGCTGTACTGGTGCATACTGTGCTCAGGGGGTCGTGGCGATGAGGCCTTCACTACCTTACGAGCTATACGTCCCTGGTTGCTCTTTAAAGTCCATACACCAGAAGAGCTGCAGCAGCATGGACCAGCGGCAGCTACACAAGCCCTGTTGCTGCACTGCTGCGTACGGAGTCCTGGAAAAGTCATGATGACGGGGTTTCCACTTTTCTAGGAATCCTACCTTTTCGTTGGTCCACCTGACTTCCCTCGACGCGTAATCGACGGCTTCAGGGGCCGCTTAGATGCAGGTAGACTTTTTTCCCGCACTGCAGACGTGTGAAGGGCATACGCTCGTTCTCTGGGGACACGTTGAGCACGGTTGCTTGCCACAAGACGATCTAATACCATCTTCGTGTAAGGTTTCAGAGTGCGCCCAGCTCTAAAATGTGCGAGCGGCGGGGCGTCCTCAGTTCACGAGAAGCCTATTCGCCCAGGAAGATTTCGTTCTGATTCCAGAGCCGCGCTTGCGTGCAGTCAACTGCACCACACCCCGTGAAGGACAGCTCTAGCCCTGTAGAGACCTGAAAATCTTTGTCTCTCTTGGCTGCCCCACGGCGATGCTGTGCAGGTTGAAGCTGGGATCGTTTCTGCTTCGAAGCGCGCTAGCGTTCTTTGCTCCAAAAATTTTGCAAGAAGCGCTGGTGAACTTACAATGTTAGTGTCGTGATGCACATGTTTCGCCCGAGAGTGTCCAAGCTGCCCCAGCGTGGGCCGCCGCATCCGCCCCTGCATGTACACCTGCCTCGGCCGACGGTGCTGGTTCCACGAGTGAGGACGCTAGGGAGCCGAAGTATGCTGGCACAAACGTCTGTCATCCCGCGAACTGCCGGTACGGGAGCTGCTGCTCTCGTAGCTGCTGCTCGCGTAGCTGCTGCTCTCGTAGCCGCTGCTCTGCCCTGCTGTCCTGGTACTGCTGGCCTGCAGCTGCGTGCAGCTGTCCTGCCGCGGACGCCGGTGCTGTCAGCGTGCCCGCTGTTTGCTCCTATTGCCCGTCGCCGCTCTGTCTTAACGTGCCTGTCAGCTGGCTGGGCCTGTCTATTGATGCGGGGTAGCAGTTGCCTGGAGCTTTCACAGCGATCCTCTTTATTTGTGAAGATTATAGGAAGGCTATGCGCACACACCCTTATACACGCATTTACATTTACATATCGCAAATACGTGTACACGTATGAAGCATGAAGTGATGCACAATTGCGTAAGCACGTATACGCGCGTGCACACAGTCGTCTATTATCCACCACCACAAATCTAGCTAATCAAAATACATATATGTGTATGCGGATGCTCAAACACCTATACACGTATGTATACGGACACACACACAGAGCTTCACAGACACTTCCAGACGTCTGAAAGCAAATTTCTACGTACGCTCATGCCTGCAGCTGCCTTCACATTATTTGTCTTCACGCATATTCATACACACATATATATACATATGTCTGTCTTCGAGTTCATACCTCCAGATACACGAGTATCCATGCTCGCATTTACATACACTTGCACACATATACGTGTACAGATGTCTGTCTTCCCGTGCTTTCTGAGACGTACATACGTGTATGTACTATTTGTATACATACATATCTAAAAGTATACAGATGGTTGCAGAGATGGTCGGGAGCCTGCAGAACGAATGAGCTTCATGGAGGTGTACCCATACATTCTAGGGACGACAAGCAGCTGTATGTGTAATACGGCGTGTAAATATGCACGTATACGTGTACAAGGGAGTTTATAAACACAGATACGTACGGCGCGTCCCTGAAGGCATAATACATGAGCATACCTGCATCTGTAGACGAATACATGGTTATACACGCACATGCACAAATATTATACACACATGTATTGAATCCCTTACACATATTACTGCAGCTTCAAAACACGCGCGCGGTAGCACTGGCCTCCACGCTCCCAGCGCACATTCCTGGGTCGTGTAGAACGATATTTACGAGTGGTCCTGCCCTGTGAGAAATCGTGTCTAAGTGCGCGGTCAAGTGCTTGCGGGCGCTTGTCACCGCCCGGGCGCGTCAATTCCGCCGACTGCCCCCGACAAAATCAGGGAAAGCTTTTTGTCCACCTCAAGCACGGACGATATACAACGGATGTGAAGGCGTGCTGTCTAGATGCCATGCCCTGGAGTGACCTTGCGGTCATTCTGCTTTCCATGGCACAGAAGGTATACAGGACGTCCTTGACCGGCGCTAGGTGGATGTGGGCAGCTTCGAAAAGTACCTGTTGACCGCGTCGCTTTCGATGTGACATCACAGTGCTCCCGCACGTTTTGTCGACATGCGGCACGCAGGGCACAGTGCCCCCCCGCGCGTCTACCCTAGCAACTAGGTGGTACTCAGAAAAGTATGCGTTCCCAACATTACAACCGGTGGTCGGTTCACGCACTTGGGCATTACTTGTTTCCTGGACGCGCCCACGTATACGTCGTGTTCACGTGATTGTTCGCGTAAGTTGCGCTGCAGACGTTTTCGAGACTCTCCTTCGAATGTGTCTTGGGTCGGTTGTCACAACGATAATAAATGTCCCGCAGTACGCAACTTAGTCCTTACGGTGTCTCTATGCGCTATCGGCTGCCGTTATAGGGCTTCGATCAGCTATACCTTTATTTTGGGAGGCCCACCGTTCCATCTGGCATTCGATGTCTATTTGCGGAGCTCCGCGGCGTGCACGATATCGCGGGCGCGCGCAGCTAATTTGGCGTCAACATGAGGGCAACAGTTTCCGCACTGTTGTACTCTGCCTGCGCGGTGTTTGCAATTCATTGCACGGATACGGTGTCCGCAGCTTCCGGCAGCCCCCCGCCCCCACCGGCGGATGAAGAGGCAGCCAGGAAAGATGCCGCTGCTCGTTCTAATGACCTTCAGTTCATGGATCTCCTCAAGCATACAATCGAATCTCAGGTCGAGATCTTCCCAGAGAGAGCCGCATCGCTAAGAAACACCGCATTCCGCTTGGATTACCTACGTCGCCTCTTTCATAGAGCGTACCATATGATTAGATTTCGCCCGACTACCACACCGCGCGCAAGAGCAGTTAGTCTGGCGGAGGAGATGCACCACCATCTGGAGATGCTGCGGCGGCCGATGATGGACGATGTTCTTTTTGGGCAACAATACTTCCACATGCTGGAAGGGCGCGTGCAATACGTGGTTTACAGACTCAACAACCTGCAGGCCCCCTAGAATAGGCTACAGAGATTCTCCCCCTGCACAAGCTGCAGTAAAATGGGGAGTGGAACGTCACTACCGGAAGCCTAGAACTTCAGCGCCCGTAATTGTCTCATCTTCTTTTGAGCAGACTGTGACGAGCAGTATGCCTTTGGGTGCTCAGTGCAGTTCTTTGGAGCAGATGGTCACGCTTAGCCTGCGCGCCACCCCTGCGGAGTCTTGTCTACGAATGGCCATTTTGTCTCTCCCGTCCAGCTTACGCTGCCAAGTTGCCTGCTGTGCGTAGGCAAGCGATTGCACTGACGCTCTGATGACCGCGGAAACCTCAGCGTGCGGGCACTGGCAATTCAAGGGACCGGCTTTACGAGTTTTTCCACGTTAGGACAAGGTGCCAGCAAGAAGTGTTGGTGACGTTGTTGTAGATTAGCCTGCGCAGGATATTGTCTGTTGCACATGAGAGGAAAGCTATAGTCCGCGTGTGGGTGACCCCCAGCGTGCGGAGGCCGATACATCTTATCTCGTAGCATGACAGTTTCGCCTCTTCAAGAGACGAATCTGCTCACCTCTTATGCAGTACGGTAAGACAGGGCTTTCTGGTGCATAAGTCTCGCCTGCCACCGTACGTGTACGATCCTGTGAACACATTCACCTGTCTTGCGCCTGCGAGGCCCCTTGAAACTGGCCTCTCAAGGATCCCTTACGGGTTTTCTGCAGGGCCGGCGACTTCCTCTTCGACTATTTTGTGTACGGGACAGAAACGTCTGATCGCGCGCACGTGAACTTGTTTCTAACGAACAACCCGTTTCAGAGCAGTTACTCCCTACTACCCAGCTTTTTCAGCAGCGTGGCAGCAGAATCCTACGCATCCGTAGGAGGGTCTCGAGGCTTCTGTGGTTCCACCTTCGTGAAGTCTGCTCCGTCGGTCACCCGGACAGCCCTTTGCACGCATTCAAGTATGTATATATATACATGTATATAATGTGGATTTCGAAAACGTCAGCAGCGTAGTATGGAGAGGCGCTACTGCAGGAGAAACAGGTAGAGGACGGATATGCCTCCACAGCAGCAGCAGCAGCAGAGCTTGCCCTAGAGACCGTTTCCGGCTAAAAGAAGACCCGGCAACTGCTGACGAAGGCAGTAGGTGGTGCGAGAAGGACAGCAGCAACAAGCGCAGCAGCGCACAACAAGAGAGCCGGAGAAGCAGAGTCGCTGGGATCCTGCAGCTCGGGAACAGGGTGCGGCTGCTGTGCGGGGGGTGTGATAACCGTCTCTAACAGCACCTGTTGCAGCCTGAAGGCTCTTGTAGTCCCAAGCAGCAGAATGTGTAGGCGAAATGTGCACAGAGGCTTTGAGCGGAGAGAGGCGTCTCAGCAGCGGCAGCAGCTAGCGGAGACACAACTCGAAGACAAGCAGTCGCACGGAAGAGACGGCCGAGGAGGGCAGCGACAGGGACAGCGCCGGCCTCATTGCCTGCTGGAGACGCTACGAAAAGCTAGCGTGGCTGGCGTGAAGTTTCACCGCGTACGCTTGGAAGGCAGCTATAAAAGGGTCCGCCTATGCCGGTAGGCGCGCAGGCGCGCTGGAATACGCAGGGAAATTTCCCTCAGCAAGCGCGGCCTGACCTTGTGAAAATCCACGACGTGCAGTCCGTACATCCTGCGAAGGTCAAGTCAAAAAACAGGTACCTCACTGTATGTGCAGGGAATGAACGCCTACACCGAAAACGTTCGCAACGCTATTCTCCAGCTTCTGACACATCCAACGGCTAGAAGCATCCCGGCCAGTGCACGAGTTTAGTACGCACCGAGAAGACGACTTCTAGTACCTCGTCATCCATATACGCTTCAGATAGCCACGTGCACGTATCTGTGCTTACGTAGGGGAAGCTACGATGTGCGTGACTATAAACTAGTTTTGCGGCACCAGTGCCCTATCTCACTGCATGCCTGAGCCCTTTTCCACCGAATTGTACTCTCTTCGAACTCGTACTCTTTACTCTGAATATATTATATACATAGCACTTGGCCCTGCGTCATGGCTCGCAACAGCTGTAGAAGGGACGGATGCAGGGAGGCAAGTGATGATGCAGGTACACGGGTCGTTGAATCGCCCTTCCCCTTCTATAGGAAACGGAGAGGGACAAAGGGAACGAGAAATCCCGCGTCCCTTCGCTCGCGGCATTGTGTTTGTTCATAGTTGTGTTCGTCTGTGTGTTTGCGGGGGTGCATGTACGGCTTACGGCCCTCCGCGTATTCCTGAACGGCGGCACCCTGGTTTGCTAAACAGAAATATGGACGTGCGTGCCGCTCAGATCCTGCTTTGCTCTGGCTTATGTCTTGCGTTACTTCCAGCTTGGGAGCACACGCAAGTATGCCTGACAGCTGCACTCTGTTTCCTCCCGCCGCAGTTCTTCCAAGCTGCGGCGCGCACGTCCTGCTTTTTGTAGGCGTGTGCTGCTTCTAGACCTTCTTGTTTCGTATATATCACCATTAACTACCCTGCGCTAGGCACGATGTGCGCTGGTACGGACAGCCACCCGTATATAGGCGCGCCTCGACTGGCGTATAGGGTTGCTTAAGTCAGAGTTTTCTGCTTTACCATGAGTCACAAGGAAATAATTTCTTCCCTTACGTACTCCCGTTCCTCGAGTGCAGGGTGGTTTCGTAGCGGGGATTGTGTGCGGTGTTCAACGAACGTGCTGGCCGTTCCAAATACAATTCAGGCTCTGGGTGCTCCATGGAGCTACGGAGTGCTACATGCCTCGGGAAAAGCAATCTTCCGTGTCCGCCGCCACTGGACGCTGAGGTAAGCAGAGACAAGGGAGAAAACGCACAACTGCTGCACACGCAGGCAGACACCTGTTTTGACAAAACACAGGCCGTAGTCTTTACTTACTGTAGCTGATAGTACTTAACAGTTACGCCTGTGCTTATGACATGTTGTTTTACCGGAGGCA